GCGGGAGTAGCTGCATCATCAACGGACGAAGCGTCTCTACCTCGGACCATATGTCCATCACCATCTACGGCGACTTGGCGCGCGGCAAGACGGTTATCAAGCAGATGCTTTGGTGGCTGCGTGCGCCGATGGCAACCACACTCCGTGATGGCTCATCATACGGCGAGTTGCCTTTAAATTTGGCCGATGAGACGGAAGATAAACCGGATGACATCTATCTCGGCATATGTGTCCCTGACATTCTCCCCGACTGCAGTTGGCTAGTTGGCCACACGCTCCCCGACTCCCTCCGTACGACGCTTGAGTCAAAAGAGGTGCTTGGAGAGACAGGCGAAGTAACCAGACCCACGGCCGACGGCTGGCTGACGGTCACGACAGCAGATGGCGGGGAGGTCGGCTTCAATTTCAGTCGCTTTGACGACGAGAAACTCCAGGGGACAGGAGCCATCGCCCTGCGCCGAGTCACGGCTCAAGCATCAGCTCTGTTGCACCGACTCATGGAGGCGTCAGGGGCGGTGCTGACGCCCGTCAGACTCGTGGCGAAGCCATTGAGTGAGAAAGTCATGGAGATTTCATGGCCTCCGCACCGCATTGTGGACGCCGAGACGATCCATGGGATCTTGTCCGCAGGTGCGTTTGACTTGTGGAAAAAGGCGGAGGGAGAGGCTGATGTGGGTGATGACGCGGACTCGGATGGAGAAGCGTCTACGCCGCAGTGGATTTAGTCTCACTGCCTAGGTAGAGGGTAGATGTATTTCGCCGCCATCCCTTTAAGTCCCGGCTCTAGGGATGCGGCCTTCTTTGGGGCGCTCTCAAGATAGGTGTTGATGTACCATCTATAAGTTTTCCCTAAGTTTATTCGAATCTAGATGGTTACTCCGCTGTCACGTATGCATTCTCTCTAGTTGGCCAGGAGATTAGGAGTGGTTAGAACATTGTGGAATGATAACTGGAGTTGGAACGCGCGCAGCAAGATACAAAGAACAGAAAAAGAACACCACGCCCACACCAAAGATGGCCGGTTACAAGTGGTCTATTATTTAATTATGAAGTGTGAGGAAGAAAATCACTGCAGCGCGCGGAGCGAGCTTTTTGAAGTGCTACGAGCGCACGAGGGCGAGCACTTAATAAGTCAAAGACAGCGCCCCCAAATCTAGGGTGGAACCCCTGGACATAACACCTCAAGTCACCATCTGGCGTGATTCTAGGTACTCTGATCTCCTCGGCTCCTACTACTTAGTCCCCATCGACAGCTTTGCGGTCTACTTTCAGACGAAACTTTCACGCACTAAAGTCAAATCCTTTCGGGACGTGTGAAGAGTACATACCACGAGAGAAGTAAACCGGTACAGATTTAAGCACCTTAATTCCTCCAAAAAAGGTACCTGGCTATCGACGGCTCTAATACTGGCTATGATGCCGATAAGCAGCTGTCTGAAAAGGCTGGCTGCCTATCCCGACGCTTCCATATATAATGTTAACTCCCGCATGGCACTGACAAAGAACCTCTGGGCCGCGGCTAGTCACTGTAATGACTCTCCAGGCACCGTCTACAAAGTTACCTAAGCCCCGGGCGTAGGTTGTGATGAAGAACCGCCCCTGGTCGTCATGGTTGCTTGGACGGGTATAACGGCCCTGATATATAACTACCTACCCAGAAACGCAGGATGGCCGCAAAGTCGCTCCCATATTCCCTACCACACGCGAGTTTGTTATGGGTACTGAAAACTACACTCACACACAATTTCTGCTAGTTCACTGAACCCTACTAAATTTTAGTTGGTGTAATCTGTTTTCTTTTGACTAGGGCGAGGGTGTGTCCTTGGGCACCTCTCGGGGCTAGTCATGAGAGGCCTCCCTCTCATTGGCCACTCTTCCTGTCCTCGTGCACGCCTGCTCTCGCCATTTTCGTGCCCCTCATTTTTGCACAACCACCACAACAAGCAGCTCATTCTCCATCAGATCAGCTTCGCATCTTCCCTTTCTCCTCAAGTTTCCTACCCAACCCTCTGTTGATACCCTATGTCTCGGCACTCGCTTGGACTACGGTCGCTATCATCGTGAAGCCGCCAGAACACAGAACAGCTTCAACCGCCTGTCTTCTGGGTCTTGGTCACCGCTTGCCTCCCGTTTACCATTGAAGAGGGGAACCTCGCCAGCGTTATCGTCTGGGGCCTTTTCATCAACCATCCGAGCCTCCTCGCTGCCGCGATGCCGATTGTCTTCAAAATCCTGTTCGTCTTCATCTATCCTGCTATCCTCTTCATTATGGAACCCGGCTCCGTCATGGTGCTTCTCTGCTGGTTCGCGGTCGTCTTGGCCGTGCTCGACAAAATCCATTTCCTGATGCATCCCGGCTACTGGGCTGGCTGGTTCACCCTTCTTATCTTCCTACCTCCAGCTTTCAAGCGAGAGTCGCCGCTGATGTGGAACATTCTCGGGACGATCCTCTTCGCCTCACTGTGGTGGCTAATCGGCGCTGCGAATGAGCGGTCCTCGTTGACGGGGATCTCGCCTTGTGACTTGTGTCCGCTCATCTGGCATTCCGCGGGCTTGGATGCGCTGGAGAATCACCAGGGCGAAGAGTAGGGCAAATGGAACATGAATATTTGGCAGGAGAGGCCGATATCGCGGTACACCTTTACCAAGTTGTACCGTGATGATGAGCGCGCTGGGCTTTGCCTCCTCATTCACCGCGGAAAGAACTCAACGATGGTAGGTCTGCTTCTGCGCGTTTTCCCGAATTTTAAACTTGCTGGGTCATGTTTAACCCCATTTTGATCGCTGATCCCAATTCCAGATAATTCTGGACCATCGATCCCACTTTTGGGCTATTGAATTTAATTTTGGGCCACTTCTGGAACCTGAGCTCACTTCTGGGCCCTGAATCCACTTATTGGCCACTAAACCCACCCTAGGGCCAGTGATCCCGCTTCTACTGACCCCAATTTAGGCTACTAAACCAACCTCCAAGCTACTGATCACCCATTTGAATGTACTAGTACATGCTCTAGGATAGTACACGATATCCGAGCTGAGAATGTAGGATGGTACATGATATACCGGCACATGATGGTACCAGCATATGATGATGGGATGTCTCAGTATACCAGTACTTGCCCTGGGATGGTATACGATATTCCAGATCGTTTCGTGATGGTACCCGGTATCTCAGCTCGGAATTTGATAATACATCCCACCACTCAAAAAAGTCGAGTCACTGAGTCAGCTGGAACTGTTCTGCCCATGGAACAATTATTTCAGGAGCTCGCCTAACCTTGGTGCGCGTTTTATGTTTGGTTTGGTGACGTCTGAATGACACCATTCTCCTAGGGCCACTGATACCGTAACTATCTAGCAGAAGGGTGCATTTTCACAATTGTATAAGTACCTTTGGCTATTCCAGAACCTGGTCATGCACTCAACTCTGCAAGTCGTGAACCAAAATCATGGGTTCGGTTCAATGTGCGTGTGAATAACCCTCCGGATAAGGGAGCGATAAGCTGGCCCTCCCTAAAAAAAGGGGCCGAACCAAGCCCAGCGCGCTGGAGGGCTTTTCCTGCAAGCGCTCTCCCTATGATCTCGGCATCGAGACAGTGGCTTGCATCTTCCTTGGTCTGCAGTGGACCGCCTTACAAATGGACATTTCGACCTGGGCGCAACGAGCTCAGGGACACTGGAAAAGGTCTGAAGCAATGCTTTTCGGACTGCGAATATAATATGGGTGGTTTATCGACGTGTTAAAATTGCAAGGGAGGTTTTTCTGTCGCTGAAGTGAAGGAAAGCGCCGAGGAATCTCTGATGAGACACTTTACGTTGCCCGGGTCCACTCTTCGAACGCAGCCTCGCCATGTCAACATGTGTGAAAAATCCCGCATGATGAGTCTCTTACGGAGTTTTTGCGGGCCATCTGTGTGTTAAATGGGATCGCCTCGATCATGGTGTAGCGTGAAGTGACACACGAGTGCCTGGAGCCTCATGCCATTGTAAACCAGAGAGTTTGGCAGTAATGGCAAAAAGCCAGCATCCGGTCTTCACCGCGGTCACCCCTGAAGGAAGGTTGGGCACACGCGGCGAGGCAGCATTGGAGTCCATGTAGTTCAGAAGATGGGAAGGTGTACCGCCATGGTGACGACGTGTCGACCGCTCGAAGGTGTGAGGCGGGCGCTTTCTTGGCTACCGAAGGTGACCAAATTCCCTAGCGGCGATTGCAGCTCAGCATCGCTTCTGTCTTGCCACTTAGGTCGTCAGCATCCTCGCAATATCCGGGATAACGCTGCTGAGGGCCGCCTGCTGGCAACAAACGATAACCTCCCGTCTGAAACTCCCCCTGGCCTTCATCGACTCAACCCCGCCCTTCGCTCTCCGACCTCCCTTTGGTGGCCTTGACATTGCATCGATCACCGCAATTTTGAGCCTGTCTCGAATGAAACCTAGCCACTCCGGCGCAGGAAGCGTCCTTCCCCCCACCATGCGGATCGTCGGCAGCCTCGCACACATATATATCGGGTCGTCCGTCGCTCGCGCAAAACCTGCAACAAAGGATGTCGATTTTGCCGACTCCTCAGAACTTGCCGTCGCACGTTTGAGGCGAATGATCCACTCCTTAGGCCCCACCGTCGTAGAAACGTATAAGACGATCGCCCAAGGGTCTTGCTGCCGGAGGCCAGTCGTGCGCGTCAAGATGCCACCAATACTGGCCAACAACCGCGACTACGGCGATGGTGTTGGTAGGCTCTTCTAAGAAGTTAGCTAAATTAGTTATGAAACGTGTTAAAGCTGCCCGAGCCTACCTTGACAGAGCCGGTGTGGCATTATTGGAGAGGCGATGGTGGAAACCTGATGCCGCTGGTAGAGTCTTTACCGATGAGGTACGCGCTTAGTTATCTGGCTGAGTCTTCCTTGCCTCTCGGCAGGGATCCCCTCCAGCCGCAGCGTCATCGATATCTCCCAAGTCTAACGCAAACTCATGAGATTTTACTATTTCTGCCCAATTACTAGGTCCGCTGGCTCAATGGCAGAGCATCTGGCTACGAACAGGAGGTTCCAGGTTTGACCCCTAGGTGGATAGTTTTTTTACTCTGTGGCCTGCCTAATTGCAGGTAATGCATGCTCTTGTGAAATTCCCGTTCCTTATTCTTGCCATTCACTGACAATATTTTTACCTGTCATCGATACAACATTCATTCCCCTAGCAATCTTCTTCTACGACGGCAATCATCCCAGAGGCTGCACCCACAACAGCACGGTCCCCATCAGGTATCGGTACCGACAAAACGCCAACACCTAAGGAGACATTCATCCAGCCCGAGTCCCTCTGGGATCGCGCCTACAAGTCCCTGTGTGACGATAAACTGAACCTGATGCAGCTCTATGAACAACTGGTCGACGCAACGCTGTCCTGCTATGGGCAGGCAGATTCTTCCTTGGACCTGAACAAGATGGTGAGCGACTTGGTGACTTGGATAGACAACTCCCCGCCCGACTTTCGCACCTCAGGCCCGAAACCTGCCGAGGCCAGGAGCGCAACTCAGCGACGGAACCTGGAGGTCATGCTTTCCCTCGGCCAGCGACATATGAAGGAAAAGCAGTTGGCCATTTGAGTGGTGGACTACGAATTCGTCTTACGAGATCAGATGCAACACCTTGTCGCGGGAGTTCAATTCGCCAAAGACTGGATCGACGAAGCTGTAAAAGCCAGCGCAATTGCTAGTGCGGCATGGGCAGGTGTTTACATCCTCCTTCCGCTACTTACCAACTCGAGCGAAGTCCAACAAGTCAATGAAGAAGGCCTCCTTTACGTCGCCGACGAAATCCGCTATTACACCGCCATGGAATCGATCATGCTCCTCAGCGAAGACGAGGCTCGGGCGGCATTCCCACGACCGGAAACGAAGCCCTTCGAGGCCACCTTCTCGAGCTTTACAAAGCCATTATCGGCTACGAAGTCCAGTGCACGCTCCGATTCTTCAGGCACCGCTTTAGAAATCTGTTCCGGGATATCGTGAAGTGGGATCCCAGGGAGGAGATGCTGAAGACGGTCAAGGAGCTTGGAACCCGTGTCGAGAATGAGTCCATGCAGATCAATAGCTGCCTTGACAGGAAAGCATTGAACGACATCTCTCAGAGGCTGGAAGCCGAAAATGAGAAGAAATGCATTCAGACTTTCAGGCAAGACTAAGGGGACTATGTGGGGCTTAAAAATGATTGCAGATCGAGTGAAGGACACCTGTCTCTGGGTCCTAAACCACAAACGCTACCAGGCTTAGCTCCAGGCTGAAGCTGGGCCGCCGCTTATCACGGCGGATCCCGGCTACGGAAAATCCATCCTTACGAAATACTTGGTCGATTCGAGATTTAAGTTCTGGTTTCTAAGAGAAGTGACAATCTGTTACTGACCACGCTTTATCACTTTTGTGGAGTGGCTCACAGCAGACTGATCAAGAGTATGTCAGGGGCGTTAAGCCCTGCAAGGAATGCTAGGAGATCCACCAAAGATTTGTCCTTTAGCGTCCAGCTAAGCCTAAACCTGCACCATTTATCCTCGAAACGGGGCTGTCCAGCTCCGGAGGCTGACAGCTTTTAGCTTAACGGGCGCGTCCAACCGCTACACGGGCTCTCGGATAGACCCCCCCTTCGCTGTGGCTGCTCTGGCCTGGATCCAACCACGATGCTTGGTAACAGTTTCCGTGAAGGAAGCAAGGTTGTCGCACAGAAGATCCGCCAATCGGAATATCGTGATAAGGAAGGATTGCTAACCGGCGGTCCTGCTACTATGAGTCTGGGTTAGCCGATTCCTCAGGCGCTTTGAGCTCGAGACCAATTATGGAGATGGAAAGAGAGGTGGAGGACCTCGGCTTGCTCCGCATCAGCTGTTGGAACCGGCGACGGTGATTGGTCGGTTTTGCAACTTGGATGCGAGGCTGCGGCAGGAGGACGACCCTTAGGTATTAAGCAGGTCCTTATACCGGTGTCAACAGCAATCGCTGAAAGATTTCTTTGCTTGCCATCGAAGATATGGAACTCCTTCTCTGGGACGACAACAGCTGTGAGCCGTTGATTGAGGTGCGTGGCTGCAGTAATGCCGCAAATCCGAGCGAGATGGTGAAACTCAAGACGGGGCCGCGAACGATCCACGTATCCCGAGGTAGTGCGATACGCCACGCCGCGGTCTCGGCGAAGGACGACTCGGAATCCGTGCAGGGGTGCTGTTGTTAGGCACCAGCCCCATGTCACAGTTAAAGAGAAAAGGCTTCGCCGTTAGGTAGCTGAGAGTTAAGATTAGCCAGTTAGATGGACGGCTTTGAGGACAACTGCAGCATGGACAGCGCCTACGTGTTCCCTAAACAGTGCCAGATAGTATTCCAGCAGGCTGACGGGGTCTACTTCACCGACAGCGCTTGCAAGTACGGCGGTGCGTGCCGCGGCCCCCTACCGCCGGCTCACGCGACGCCTCGCCTTTGAAGACAGCCCCAAGCCGGGCCGGGGCCGCTCGCCGATGCGTGAGGAAGCTGGAGGCGCACATGTCGACAAAGAGGAAGCTGCAAAAGCACGGGTTCGATCGCTCGAGGCCAACTTCTCCATCACCCCCGGCTCGAGCCCGCTGTTCCACGACATAGCTAACGTAGGTGTCACACAGGCGCGGGCGTGGCTGGCCGGAGCCGTCTTCGACAGCAAGTGCGGCGGGGGCGTTGGCATTAAGAACCGGGTGCCCAAGTTCGAGCTCCAGCAGAGCGGCAGCGAGACGGTGTGAGCCCAGGACGGCATGCCGTTCCACTTTCACCACAACCCCGTGTATATCCCCTTTGCCTGCGCGCCGGCGGCGGCGGCTGGGGCCGATGAGTCTTTTTCTCGGGCGATGCGGCGCGTATACGGGGGTGGCAGGCCATGGATCGCGACTACGGCGCTGGAGGGGGCAGTACGGAGCCGAGACGCGACGACAAACCGCCCATCGGGCCCTTTGCCGACTGGAGGATCCCAGGTGTGTTGTCAATCCAGGACCGGATTTCAGTGCGCTGAAGGAAGTCTGGGTCGAGTTTTGCGTTAAGCCTTTGCTGGCGACGGGGCCTCTGAAGGCTTGGAGTCCTGCGGCGGCACTGACACCCTGATTCCATCTTAGGCTCTGGCTCAGTCTTTGCTCAGGATTGGCTCAGGTTTGCTCACCCTGACTACCATTTTACATGTCTGAATCTGGGCCTGTGCTGTCGCTTGGATACTTGGTGCGCCAAGTGCTACGGCTTTCAACAACTTCTAAGCTCGCTGTAACGACCCTCCTGATCTCGCTGAGCACCCATATTAACCCTCTGACCAGAACCCCCCCTTCCCTGATCACCGCCTCGAGTCTCACCCGGGCAACCTTCCTCCTCAGCTGTGAATCCTCGGTGCTGTGCCGCCTCTATGATGATGTTAGAGGTAAGTAGCTTGGGAGCAAGGATAGGCGGGAACTTACATTTCTTCTCGTCCTCAGTCACTGTCAGCCTCTGGCTGAAGACTCACAAAGTGCTTAGCCTGACCTTTCGGTGCCATCGCAATCATGTCCTGAAGGACGCCCTCCATTTCTGGAATAACGGATCTGATCTGCGTCAACTGTACGAGCAGCGCATGATTCTCGTACACTGTCGTCGGCTGGTTGGTAGTGGGTCTGTTGCCAACTGCCGTGGCGGTGGCAGTCTCGGAGTGTGTACCTTGGGCAATCGACCGGCACAGGCGGTGACGGGCCCAAAACACGACCAGGGACAAGTTGTAAGCACCAATACGAGCCGCCTCACTGCGATCCTAATGGTTACCAGCTAATGCCCGAGCCTGCTGGAGTGTGTACCCTTCTTTCAATCGGATAAACCTGTATGAAATTCCAGAGCCGCGTCCGTCGACCCAATTGAAGATTACCCCAGCCCCGTCCCAATTGACATTCGTCTTGATGAACGCGGGCTGGTTTGCCATTCGCACCGGGCTTCCCTTGCCCGGAAGGTTCCGAGTGGTCGTGCCGCACTCGGTGGCAGCCTCGTGGTGTGTGCTGTTGCGAGGGGCATCCCGAGGTGCAACAATCGGGCAGGTCGTATCCCAATCAGCTGCAAAAACCGCCTTCCACAACACGCGTCTGGTCGCATCCGTTGGTGTATCGCCGCTGAGGTTGTGGCGGCCAAGAAGAACGGTGAGGTTGTCGCATAACTTCCTCTGGTCGGGAGTGAGCTCTGAATGTTTGCTTATAACATGGCTGACTCCGGAGTGGAACTGGGAGGAAGGGGGCTGGCTGGCGGGAGTGTTGCCAAGTTGTCGTGAGTTACTAGGGTCGGCTGTCGTGCTGCTGCTGCTATCTGTCATGTTGGAAATGTGTGTGGAAGTGAAGTTCTTTGTGGGAAAGGATCGATCGTAGATGGCTGTTATTGGAAACGAGGGCTGCGGAGAAGAAACAGTTGGAGGCTGCATACCGCGGCGATGGGCGAATTTGCCTCAGAGAACGTACCAATTGATTGGACGAACAATGGAAAGTCGCACAATTACAACTGCACAATAGGAACAATAGCTTACAATACTACAATATCAGAAGAATGGGAAAGAGCAATATTGCCACCTAACGCTGTACGCGGCGACCTCGGGGCCAGCTGTAATCTAGCCTTTTTGATCATTTGGGGTATCTGTAGCCACGTCGTGGTCTCTTCGACGGGGACTCGCTAGGCATAGACTTCTTCTTCTTGGGTATATTGTCCTCCGTATCTCCGCCGTCTAACGGTACCACTTTCCACCCCTCCTTAATCAGTGGCGCGAATGAGTCTGTATAGATGAAATACCCCGCGTCGTTAGCCCTCTTCTCCGTGATGTCTGCAAAGTGTATCATCCTATAAATCTCCCCACGAGCCAGCGTATCCTTTACTAGCGTCCACCGGCCAGTCTTGGTATTGATCTCTCGATACCGTACGAGCACCGCTCCACAGGTACTATCCCGGATATGCGGAGATTCATCCATGGTAATGGAATCTGTGGTATAGATACCTTGATGTGGCCGAACGTACGCTACCCCAGGCACTGGGAGGACGTGGTCCGAGTATTCAGGTGTAACAATGATGGGGTGCT